GGCCCCGAGCCGCAGGGTATTTCCATGCCTCACTCCCCCTGAGATCAGTTTCAAAATTTCAGCACCACGGATTAACTTCATGTCCCGGCTGCGTAAAAGCCTGAGGCTCTTTTATATGTGATATTTATTTAAAAAAACAAGGAAAGGTTGAGAGCTGGCTTGCTTTCCTCCAGTACTGCTGCTTTCTTACCTTAATACAAATGCCTAGATGGCTTTGCAACCCTCCGTTGAAGCGCCGTGCTCGACATACTGAGCTAAGAGCTTTAGATGCCTTCAAGCATCTGGGCTGTAGGCAAATGAACAGATTAAAAACCAAGACGACATTTTTCAGTCAAGTGATAGCTCCTAGATGCAGGGGAAAGAAGCAAGGAAGGCTGTTGGCATTTGATCGAGATGTTGAAATAGCTGGGCAGTGCACACCCAGGGGCACATCCCCAGAACTAGAGCCTGCTTTCCGTGGCAGGTCCCGAAACACCTGCCTTCTGCGATACGTACGGACAGGAATTAAAACCCCGAGCAGAGCCGCCTCTGTGCGCTGCGTTCCCTGCCTACAGGACGCACCCACCCCCGCCTATTTCATGAGAAGGAATGAGCAGAAAGCTTTATGTCAAACAGGCCACTGCAGGCTTGGCACATTTATGGTCATTTTCATTTCTAAAGCCTCCGCACTGCTGCTGTTGAACACTAACAAGCGTTTTCCCTGTACTTGCAGGTCCGTCCTCGGTTAAGCTGGAGCTGAAGGAGGATCTGTGCTTCGTAAGCAGGCAGGCAGAGGTACGGGTGGAAGAGCTCTTGCTTCGGAACCTCGCTAGTGTTCAGATGCCAATAGACTGGGAAACGGGCGTTAGAGGATGGGGAGCTTCTGCCGCTGCGTGGAGGGGACACGGCCGGGCCGGGCAGGTGCTGCTGAGCTGGAAGCACGCTGACCCGTCTCGAGGCTGGTGATGCCCCTGCTTCTGATGCAGGTCTGGGGGAGGCTACACAAGAGTTACAGGAGAGGGCAGAGCGCAGGGAGGAGCAACCCAGGAGAACCAAAGCCCAGCTTGAAATTTCTCAGCCCGCCTGTTGCTGCTGGTGATGCTGGTCACCCCTCAAAGGCCAATAAGTACCAGCGCTGCGCTGGGAGCCAGGGTGCACTTATCTACAATATTTACTTTGGTTTTACCTGGTATTTAAGGTTCCCGTGTTTGATAATTGACACTTTCTCAATTGCTTAATTTTGGGGTGGTCCGTTGAAGCAGTGCCTTGCTCCTCCGAGATGCCACGTGTCCCTCTGCAGTCAGTGCTCCCCCAATTTCCTTTATTTTTTTCTTCCTGTAGAGCAAAAAAGCAAATCAGAAACTCCAAACCCAGCTGACTAAGGATCAAAAACGGACGAAGAAACAGCAGCCTGGGAGGAATCCAAAAACAGAGCGAGAGCTGCTCGGAGAGCTCTATGCTGACAAGGCTTACCTGGAAAAGCTGCTCCAGGATGAAGGTCTGGTTCCCTTGTATTTAACTCAATGTTCCTTCTAAGCAGGTTGGTTTTTTCCTTCTTTTCTATCCCCATGAGTACTCTTCTTTATCTGTATCAGAGCTTCCACAGCACGTGGTGCTTGCAGTGGTCGTGAGAGGCAGGTGTCTGCAGGGTGTGGGTATTTCTGGAGCCAGATCCCAGACTCATAACTACCTCTGAGCGTATTTCCTTCCCTCTTAGATGGCAGCTTCTGTAATGAACAATAAACCAACTCCCAGCAATCTGTTCTGGTGAAACCAAAAGCCGACACAGTATCATTACAAATTACTTAATTTCTGTCATAATGATCAATTACTGACACCTGCCTAAGTGCAAAGCATCGCTTGTAAGGCTGGAACTCGTTTGTGGCTTCGTTATCAATGCTGTTACGATCAAGATGCAGCATTTGTTGAAGTATCTTATTTTAGAGCTAGGCAGAAAGGTGACTCCCCTTTAGTAATTTTTCTAGGGAACGCTTTACCCACTAATAGAGAAGTAATTAAGGATTTAGTCTGATTGCAGGTTTTATGGAGTTACCACCATTCATAATCCATGTTGGCTGTCTGGTTTCCAGGCACGTAAGCGCCTCGATTTCTATCTGGCAATGGGATCAACAACAGTTTTCCAAGTGCCAGCTCGGTACAAGTGCCCCGTACACTTGTTCTGTGCAGGATGGGTGCTCGCTCGTCACAGCCGAGCCCGTTATTTGGGCCCCTTCGTGGCTCGTGTCTGCAGAGGCAGAGGCAGTTGCAGGACAGGGGCTTGGGACACCAGCTCCAGCTCACTGCAACACGCAGAGCGGGGCACAGCAGGGGTTCTGTACCATCCCTCCTCATCACATCCGTTCTGAGGAGCACCAAAGACTTTAATTTCCAGGGTTCGCTCTCTATCAGAGCAGAAAACATTCCCAAGCAGCCCCCACTGAACTGCAGCGTCACCCATCCTGTACAGTAACGCTCCCCTGGGCTCCGCCGTCTCGTTTGCAGATTTGATGGAGAGCAGCACAAAGGAGGGCATCAAAGTGGCAGACCTGGTTTGGAGTGGCATTTCCTACCTGGACGCACGCAGCGAGTTCTGGCAGCAGCAGAAGCCTATTTACGCCCGTGTGAGAGAGCGCAAGCTCCGGCAGCAAAGGTGGATCCGGGACAAGAAAAGAAAACCAGCCGAGGTGGGCAGATACATCGTGAAGAGCATGGAGGACATCGACATGTGTAGGTGTCCTGGCTGGCAGCAGTAAGAAAATGATGATTGGCACGTGTAATTAATTGCTGCAGTAATTACAGACCAGAACAATAGGAGCAGTGCAAGTATGAACCAACACTAGTGGGCAGTTTTTGCAAAGTATTTGCTTTTGTATTCTTCATCTTTCCCAACACTTTCTTAGATCCAGAAACCAACACATTTTTCTCTCTCTCTCACTGATTGGTTTCCAGGACACCACTTTGGTATCCCAGCCAGGTGGGCCACTGCTGCGTGCTTAGCAGATGCCTCTGGCTGGTTTGGAAACCAGAAGTTGTTTTATTGAGAGAACACGGCCACTGGAGTTAATTTCTACAGGTGAAAAATACCGGTGTAGAGAGATGAAGAAGCCGACAAGCAGTGGTCTGCAAGGAGGGAGTAATTCAGCCACCTCTAGTCTGTTTCTCTCTTCCCATGCTACCTTTTTACAGCCCAGGGACAGGAACTTGGGCACGACTGCAGTTCAGTTCTCTCCAGCTGCAACGCCCAGCGAAGGGAGCAGCAGAAGCACCCCGCAGGCTGCCTCCTGCAGCCCAGCTGGGCACGGGGAGCAGAGCTCAGCAGGGAGGTGCAAGGGCTCATTGAGGAGATGAAAACCTGAGCACGGTGCTGGAACTTCATCTCCAGACCAGGCTCCCCTGCGGCAGCCACTGAGCTTCCAAATCCTTCCGACAGCAGCACCCTTCCCCTTTGCCTTCCTCCGGCGGTTGGGAAGGGCTCCCAGTCGCTGCCCCTCCGTGCTGTGATGGATTTCCAGCAGTGCCAGGAGGAGGGGCAGACGTACCATCTCCCCGGGACAGATTCTCTGGAGACTGGAGGGAGGGGTGTAGGAGATGCATGAGGAGTGAGGAGCTCCAGCCCTTCCCAGGCGTTGTCCGAGGCTCCCACAATGGCACCAGGTCTTATCGCTGTGTCCACGCACCAGCGTTAAACTTTCCTCTCGGTCTCCAGTGCTGACGGGCGACTGTCCTGAAGAAAGCTGCAAGAAAGCTGAGCACGTGCTGAAAACCATCCAGGGGTGGTCAGAGGAGGAAGTTCCCAACAAGAACGAACTGATTGGAAACCTCCACAGCTGCATCGGGAATGCTCAGCTAGCGATGGGCCAGCTGGAGGCAGCTCTGCAAAGCCACAGAAAGGATCTGGAGCTCGCCAGGCAGAAGTGAGTCCTGGGTTCAGAGGGAAGGGGAAGGGTCCAAAGTGCAGGGGAAGGTCCCTCTGGTAGGGTGTTTCAGCATCAGGTAATGTTAACAATTAGCAGCAGAGAGGCAGGAAGGAGATAGATAATTTTACACTTTTTTAAGCCGGGATAAAGGTGCATCTAAAGGACCTTGATTTGATGACTTTCAGTCTGACATTGATCCTTTACTTCTCAACGCTTACCCAAAGTCACGTTGAGCGCCAAAGAAAACACGTAAGTCTGAAGGAACTGTATCAGGAACGAGACTATTTCAGCTCCTACAGTTTCTTTTTCTTTTCCTGCAGTGACCTGCCAGATGCCATATCCAGAGCCCTTGATAACATGGGCAGAGTTTATGCCAGAACCGGCAAATTCCAGGAAGCTATCGACACGTACGTAGAACCAGAGACAGAAAAGGCACAAGGCTGTATTTTGAATGGAGCAGATGATGTCTTTTCAGTTTGTTTAATCATACTGCTAGCAAGAGGGGGCTGTGAAATGTTTCACGACAGTACCGGGAACATTTTCTGTGTAGAATCAGTGGTTGAAATTGTAACTTGTACCTGATGAGATTTGGTAAATGTCTTTCTCACTCTCTGCTTGAAGGTGGGAGGAGAAGATTCCCATGGTCAAATCCAGCCTGGAGAAGACCTGGCTGTTCCATGAAATCGGCCGCTGTTACCTCGAGCTGAATAAAGCCAAAGTGGCCAAAGATTACGGAGAGAAGTCCCTGCAGTCAGCAAATGAAGGGGGAGATGCTGAGTGGCAACTCCATGCTACCGTCCTCGTGGCACAAGCACAAGGTAAAGGCGTCGGTACAGGTTTTGCTTTAAGGATGGAGCCAGCCTGGCTGTTCAGCAGCTTTGTGAAAACGTCTCTGTCACATCCAAGTGACCGTTCAGATCACGACCTCTTAGCAGGGACTTGCTTCATTAGCTGTGGTTGTTCTTTTGATCTGACGTGGGATCAGGGAAGCCAAGGCGCAG